TATTTCGACTTTTGTTTTTATTGTGAGCGCAGTGTCCCAACATTTTCATTCTTATATATGTTTTGTGTGTCAGTGTGTTTTATTATAGATTTGAAGAAGTAAGAAATATTAGCTTAATCATTCGTGAATTGGTGAATTTTGGGTAAAAAGCCAAAACTGCGTACTTTGGGCTTTCGAATAAGAAGCGAGCCTTAAAATAAAAATAAAAAACGTCAACGAAAGCTTAAAATACATTTGTTCTGAAATATTCAAATACAATTTCAGAGACACGATCAACTTAAAGTTTTAGCTACCTTAAGGATCGAAAAACCCTCTTATGGACCCTGATTATTGTTTTTTGGCAATTTTTTGATGTTGATTCATGTAGAGTATACATGGATATTGAAGTAGGTATGCTTAATTTCAATCGGTTGATTTTTTGATCAAAATGTTTTAACAATGTGAGCCAAAGCTTACACCAGTGATGTTTTCTAGGCTTCTACGTTTGAGAAAGGGTATCTGGGTGTCACTTGTTTAAATTGTCGGCTTATATATGCTGGCTTCAAGGCTTCTTTCTAGCAAACTCACACTTTCGATGATAAATGGGGATTGTGACGTTACCTGTGATTAGATCTGCGGGACGCTTCTGGTACATTTTATTTATTTTGTGATTATTTATAATTTCCTTTCAATATGACTAAACAGCATAAACGTATATATTTTCTCCTTAATATTAAAATAAGTTACCACAAAAATCCTTATACTCGTATAAGTCATAAGGGTATCAAAAAATTAAAAATTGACTACAAATTTGTTGCTATGTCTTCAGTCTTAAATGGTGATAAAAATAAATTGAGGTAACACCCTGTTAGGTACTTTAATCGTGCTATTGCCGTTCAGGGACAAGTTCATTTTTCTTCGTTTTTGTCTTCAACTGTCACATAGAGGGGTTTGTACAGCACTAAGGGGTCTCTGAAATTGAAAAAATTCGGTTAATATATAATTTAGCTCGATCCATGTTACTCATTTCCGTCTGTCTATTTGTGTGTTTGTTAATTCTTGACTACTTGGAAAGTACTGCTCGGGATAAAAAAGATACAAATCGCCAACACTTTGCTTTTGACGTATAACAGACACCTAATTATTTTCAAAAAACCTCTTGTAGGAATTAAACATTGGGGGTTGTAGGGGGTGGGAAAGAATATGTCTCAATTTTTTGGCGGTTGTATAATTATACGCTTCCGTCCCCAGTAATACGAAGCATCTATTGAACATAATTCATGCATAATAGATTTCTCTGTTAATTTGCTCTTAAAACTGAGAATGATTGAGAAATATTTTCAACACACGCATCTCTGGGTATACCTTCACCGCGGTCTTATCAATGGGTGGATGGCGTATGGCGAGGTTAGCCATAAGAACGTTGACAGATGGTCGATGTTGTCGGTAGGGCAGGGGGGAAATTTCAGGATCGCAACGATGTCACATGGGTGTGGACTATAGATTAACAGTATCGGCCTGTTTGACTAACTTGTTTCGTCAATTTATTTTATTATTTTTGTTCGTAGCCTTTTTCTCAGAGGGGCTACCTTGTGCCGGAGATAATTCTTTGACAAGACGACAGCTTTGGGTGAACGTGCAGAGTGAACGTACTTGACACCATTTTTTTGTTGGTTGAGCCCACCTACCTTAAATGATGTTCATTTCCATCATATACTTGTCCCAATAGAAATTCTGGGGCTAGATACATTCCTCCTTCGACCACCGGACATGCTTGTTCTAAAAATTGAGAATGATTGTCATCTCTGATTATGAATTTTTGTTTAGATGAGCTTACCGTATTTTATGGTTGGAATTTGATTAGAATTTGGGATTCTGAACGGGACTGTACCTATTGTTATGGGACAACTCACTTGAAGAATGTCGAATTCCTTTTCAGTATCCAAATACACCTGAAATAAAATAATAATAATAAGAACATGGCGTTTAACACAAATCTAACGTTTATATTAATGAGTCTCAAACAAATTTTAGTTTCAGCTTCTCGAAAATAAGATCTTTGTATGGACCACATAGAAAAACAATGTGCCCTAAAATAGTATTCTTTATAGTCTGGTACCAAAATGGATGTGGTAGCATAAAACATCGTGCGTCACTGCTAACGCAGCGGGATCCGCGCGCATCGACTTTGCTGATACAAAGGTGCGCCGCGTTAACAATAGCGTACGATGAGTTATTCTATGCTCTTCCATTCTGGTATCCAAGTATAGTCAAAAATGCTCCAAAAAGACCTCCCAATATTTTTATGAATATATTGGTATGGTACTCACCGTTAGTAAGTAGTATATCTGAACTAGCCTACAAATATGAACCAATGTAGTGGGCATTGAAGGTATAATTAGACAATTTGAGCTATCCCATTTGCTCCGACTGTGGGGTTTCACGTGACAGCCTCTAAAAACAATATGTTTTTATAATAGGTGTATATAAATAATGTATCGAGATAACATGATTGACGTGTATCCGTAAAGGGCGATGGGAACGCAAAGCTTAAACTGAAAATTCAAATGCTGTATTCACACATGCAGTATTTAACTTTCATATCAGAATTTATTTTCCAAACTATTTCTCCTCCAGCAGGGACTGAAACCGGTCCGACATAACAATTCATTTCACACCATATATTCCTTAACTGTTGTTTGAAATTTGTAGACAATGTGGATGTTTCAAAAGTTTTATTTCGGACTTTCATTGTATAAACCATTTTTGAGTTTAGATTGATCTGGAATCTTCGATCGCTTTCAGGTGAACTGGCGAATATGTACCTATATATACTCAAATCACTGACGTATCCTTTGCGTTACCTTTTCGTAGATCTCGTAGCCGATTGGTGGTGATGACGTGACCTTAATGATTCTTGTCCAGCTGGAGCATGTTGACTCTGTTGATGATTGGCTGCCTCAATGATTTCATTTCTACGCTGGTACCAATGCGCTTCTTTTTGTATTACCTTGTTATCATCCCAATTTAATATGTAATGCTCCTTCCGCGTGTCCTGTTATGCTGGATTTCCCCACTTTTGCACGTTGGATGTTGATTCGGCGTTCCTACAGTGTTACTGCTAATGGCATTTTTGATCCGTCAATTTAGCGCAATAACTTCAAACCCTTTATGTCCTTTCATTTATGGATATCGTAGCAAATAGACTGCAGTTTACAGGAAAGTAACACATACAGGGCAATATGCCTCAAACCACTCGATAAATACGAAGAATGTCTGGTATAGAAGATGAAATACGTCACATTAAAGATATCTTGAGAAGAATAGCTACCCAAGAAGTATAGTAGAAGAGGCGAGGAGAAGAAGTACACAGAATGAACCATAACCGATATATTCTCATCTACCATAAGTGGTTGGTGGTATTTCGGATTCAATTAAAAGAATAGGAAAGCGCTACGGCATTGACATCAGATTCTCGAAGAATACAACCCTACGTAGCGTACTTACAAAGGTCAAGCCAAGAAACTAAGATAAAGACACGAATGATACATGCTTATACCAGGTACTATGTGAGTGTTGGAAAACATGTATTGGAGAAGCAAAAGAACCATTTGTACTAACATTGTATGATCATCGAATCAGCACGCAGACTTGGAGAAGTCCGGCGTAGCAAAACACGCATAGAAGGACACCATAGAATAACCTGAGACGACACCGAGGTAGTACATAAGGAAATATGTTGGTATCGGAGACAATTCAAGGAAGTCGCGTCCACAATGAGTAATGCCAAACACATACAGTAATTATGGTATAGAACTAAAAGCAGTAATGCAGTCGATCAGCAACAAAGTCAACAAGCCACGGAAATTATATGTTTGCCAGTTCAGCTGAACATGATTGCAGATGCCAGATCAATCGAAACGTCGTGATCTTAAAAATTGAATAGACTATACAAGACCGAAATAAAACTTTTGAAACATATTCCTTACCCCAAATTTTAAAACTCGTCGTTGGTTCAAAAAAGGTAACCCTAGGTTAATAAATGAAATGATCTTCTAATCATGTATCATTGAGGATCATGACTTGTTTCTGGTTGCTGCTGCATCGAATTTAGCATGACCAAGCGGTCGTGAGCAAACATCTATCCACAAAATTAAGATTATAAATAATATTGCCTTACCCATACTCAAAGACTAGATGTTTGATATCCTTGCTGACACCCAATACGCCTCTATCAATGAAGAATTCGCATACTTGTTCGAGCTTTATCCTCAATTTAACTTCCTCTTCTGCTTGATTGTCGATAGTGACTTTCAATTTGATGCTTTCCTTGCAAACGTAAGCGGACCGAGCCAGCACACATCGTAGATTGATCGTCCCCTTTTTGCAACACCAGCAGCAGGTAGACTTTCTATTTTCCAAAACAATTGGTTTCTACGAAAATATGATTTCCATTGCAATAAATTAGAGATATAAACCTACCCTACCTATGTGCACCAAGTCGCGGAAAAACTGCATCGTTCTATATTTTGCTAAACTATACTTTGTTGGGCGTAGTTCAAAAATGATATTTTCAAGATTACTCTCACAACTCTGTAAAAATTTTAAATTATCACAAATTCGGACGAGGTATCATGAACAATTTTCAAATTATTCATATATATTTGCTAATATGGTTCGACACAATAAATAGATTAGTTGACAACTGACTTAACGCCTATTATAATTCATCTTTGTAAGTGGTCGGTACAGTCGTTTTGCTGACAACAAAACTGATAGTCGGTAACAGGTCATAACCTAGTTCTTTCAGTACTCGTCAGTATAGTCAGGAAGACTCTGCATATAAGTATCATCTCTCCGGATAAAATTTTGTGAGTTAATAATAATAAAATGATTTTATTAACCTGGCGAGAAATCAGCTGTTCTTCTTTTTTAACCAGGACACCAGTTGTTCCTTTTACTGTAATTACATACACTATTGGTAACAATCAAGACAAAATACTAAAGTCTAAAATATACATCTAAAATATTAACATGCTTCCACAGATAAAACGTCCTTGAATATGACAACATCCAAATACTCGTGAGCTTACCAGATATTGTTCTTCCATACAATCAATGTGCGGTCCAATGACAGTGAAATATTTTATACCTTGTGGTGGACTGGCATAAGGAATATCAATCGTCACTTTGAAGAAATATCTTATATAGCATGGTTTGCTCTCAAAAGAACATGGTAGACTTGACTCTGGAAGAGAGAATCTGTAACAGAAAATTAACAATAGACAAAATAGACAGCCCATGTGTCCACGTTTTTTTACTAAATTCAAACTCCATAATTTTTTGAGGAATTCAAACTTAGCAAAAGTTCATGTTATTGAGACGTTTCCTTAAAATAATTTTGTAATTCCTTTATCGCATATAAGCGAAATTAAAAAGCCATTCATGGAGAATACGCAGTTGTAAAATGTTCGCTACGTCATTAGACAACGTTCCAGAAAGTACATATATATACCTATTCTTGATACTAGGCAGAAAACTCTATAAAATGATTTGAATATTAAATCTAAATACTTGTAATACTCACTTGAACGGGAATCTGTGAGTTCCTCTTGGAAGTATGGGAATAGTGGTATCCAGGTTTTTCTCACCCCAAATGATTTGTCTTTCATCTACGAATATTTGGTCATCTTTCACAGTTCTGCGATCTCCTGATAGAAGCACCTTCCATTCTGCATGAGCTTTACCCCTCAAAATTACTCTTATAGCTGGAAGGACATTAAATAACATAAAGGTTCACCTAAAAATGTGGTAGAAAATGTGTTTCTTTACCGTATATTGGTTCAATATTAAGCGAATCCTGGCACTGCATATATATACTTCACACACAATTAGCATTTTTTATGCAAAGATACCCTGTAACTATTATCTACAAACTAATCTGTCCAATATTAAATTTTAATGAAACCTAATTGTTTCTATCCAATTCATAGAGGTCAATATTTATTAGTTTGTCTTCAAAATTACATTAGCCGACTTTTAAGGGGGTCAAGGATTACGAAAGGCAGTCAAGAGGCGCGTGATCTATATATGTCTCATATAGTATCCATAAGGTATAATATCTCAAATTATAAGCTTTTCGCGACTACCATAGAACACGCGACTTAAAGAAGGGGCTATGTCAAAAACATATCATTTTGTATAATTGAAGTTTTGAAACAGGTTTTAATAATATTTTTTTGCTGGCTTACGTGGAGTAACTAAGATTTCAAATACCGAACAACTATTTCATCCTCAGATTGCATTTTCGGAGCGATACGAGTGTAAACGTTATTTGCTATATTTATAGTAGTACTCACTCCTGAGTTTGAAGTTATCGATGGTATCCAACACCACATTGCCTTTGATGGTCTCGCCTGGATAGTAGTATTCCCGTTCTAGCTGGATGTCGAACTCTCTGATGTAGTCCATTGCTGGTGTAAGGGGCCCCGTGCTAGGGGACAGGTGTTAGTTGGGACAGCGGCGGAGTGATGCTAGAACGCCTAAAATTTAACGGTGTCCCAAAGCGCGCCCCTTTTGTTGGTGTCAGCTGATTTCAGGAATCAGGAATCAATACTGTGAAGCGCGCGCTCCACTCGCACAGGCGCGGACTTCTGAGAATTTGGTGCTCTCGTGACGAAATCATACAGAATTATTGGAACTAAGCTCTAAGCTACGTTCGGTAGCTTAACGTACTAATATGTAGAAATTCAAAATTAACCATTAATAGTATTTAGCTCTACATATATAATGTGTATAAGATCATCAATCACTTAAGTAGCTGCGGCTTGATGTTTCCTCGCCAAAATAGATTGCACAGCAGGATGTTAAGCACCATAAGAAGAACCTCTTAGTGCGTCTCTATAAGGTTCGATTTTAATACTTAGCCGCGGGGGTACACATTTGCGTCTTTGGCATAAATTCGACCACTGAAAACGCGTTTTTGAAGCAATGGGTCTAATGAATACGCTCGATTCCTTGTAAAATGTCTCTTAAACTAGGGGAACATTACGATTTGTGTCCGATGGGTCACCAGGTTTAGGTACAAAAGCCTATTTTTTGCTTTTGTAGGTTTGTATCAGGTCAGTCAAACTCAATCATTGAATTTTGTACTTGCTATATAAAATCTGCTTAATAAACTCTTTGAATACGTACGCATTCCTCAGCTGGGGTCATTCAGCACATATGCAAAAAGTTTTTATAATGCAGAGCGCTGTGTGTATTTGTTGCTTATGATTAAGGGATCCATGTAGATATGCTTTTATTAAACTGCAACACGCGTAATGCACACAAGTTAAATTTACCTCAACACTGTTTACAAACAACTAGAAACAGTATTAATCACCACGGAATTCGCTTCTCTAATGTAATCCCAGGTAAGGTCAAGCTCCTTAATAAATAGAAAATAAAATGCTTCTTGATCAACAAAGTACACTTACTATATCTTTGATGAGTTCATTATCAGTGACTTTTCAGAATTCCAGTGGATCCTTTTACTTTGTTTTTGTGCTTTTCAAATTTTTGTTACTGTAAAGGTGTTTGTTGATCTTGAATACATATTTTCCATGTTTATTGTTGCTTTTTTTATTTTAACGCTGATCAATTGTAGAATTGTCTTTTTTGAATTTATTACTTCAAAAACGCCTCTTCGTTGGTCGAACTTGTGCCATAGGTGCAAATTTTGTGAAGAAACCATTTAGAGTTATTTAGATATCCTTTTTTTATACTCTAACTACCACGAAGGCCTAAGGCCTAAACACCCATGGGGTACCGTGGGGCTATAGGGGGATACAGGGTAAGGGGGGAGGCCACACGGACTCTGGCGAGGGCAAACGTGTGCATGCAACATGCACACATTATGGTCCCGCCTACGAGATACGCCGGGTGGTACTTCCGCGTTCGACAGTCAGAGACCGTCTACCACCTAGACCTAGACCCAGACTACATAAACAGCAAATATAGTGATGCTACAGTCATATGGAATAAGATAGCAACATCTGTTGCGCAAGTCAGTGGACTACACTTCAGAGCAAGTTCACCAACACTCAACGTCACGATGTAAGCAACAACTTAATCGTGGGTTAGTAACAATTAGAAATAAACCATTTCGACAGACAATCTTTTTTGAATCATTTAAAAATCATAATCAACGAACCACTGTTACTATCTTATTGATGAATCACTTTCGTTTCGTTTTGGATGTCATTCCAAACTTTTTTAGAGTCAATATTCGGAGGAAACTGTATTTTGAAGAAGGCTGTTGTGACAGTCAACACATCAGTACAGTTATTAATTCCTAAACTGTGACCTCACTAGCTGGCCGTTCTGGATACGTGCCTGGTCAATATTGGGGGCTTGTGCGCCTGTCTTTGTTGCCATGTGAGCATAGGGCAGGTGCATATGTTATCAAACAATTGATTTCAGTAGAAGAATGGATAATTCATCTCAAGTTATGCCAGAAATGTTTGCTTAATATACTAGTGACCATAAATTAATACAAGTCTCAGCAACATAATTCAATTTAAACGAGTTTTCGAGATACGATGTCTTTTGGCTTTTGTACTTTCTGCTGTGCGGTGTGAGTGCGGCTTGTGATATCTAGTCGATTTTTATTCACTGTCTCATCACCATCCAAATCTATAACTTTGAAATGTAGAAATGTAAATATACACGGTATTCATATAAAGAGTTACAGCTTTAGTTCGTACTTTGCAAGCTCATTGGCCGAGGAAATATTGTAGTCGATATCAAGATATTTTTTTTGGATGTGGCATTACATTTACACTACAAAAAAGCATGACACTCACTTCCGTCGGCTTGTCTGTCTATTATTTTCGAACTTGATTTTTCGTTGCCGATCTTTACCCACGTCCATCCGTTTTCGAGGTTATCAACTTTTTGATCACTTTAGGGCATTGTCAAAAAATAAGGTACAACATCAGGTAAACATTTATTGAAATCAAGCCGGTGACTCCGCGTTACGGTGGTTTAAATGTATATGATGACGCATTTTTTATACAGACCTTATAAAGAGTTATGTTTTATTTATTAAGCACTGTGTACCAACAGAGTGCAAAAATATATTTTATAATGTACAAAAATATTTTTGTTTTATTCAGGTTTATCATATACTATTTGATAGACCTCATTAAACTTACCAAAAAAGTGTATATGAATTTATGTATTTTACGGCTTCGTTCAAGTTATATTTTTCAAATACTGACATTTTTAATTTCTCTGAAATAACTCAATGAATCGACGATAGGCATTAATGGACTTTGTTCGATATGGTGAGATTCAATTGAATTACTCCAGAGGCTATCAAATTTTTACCGAGTATTTTAATTTTAACTACAGACGCCACTGATTTCTTTGTGGGTATGATCACGAGAAATCAACGATAGCGTATTTAAGCGAAGTATATATAGTATGTCTTCACTATTAACAGTATTACTATTAACTATTACTATCCTCGATTTGAATATCTTCATTTACTAGCATTATACGAGTATTTTACATTTATAATTATGCATTTTAATTGAAATATTCAGATTAATTTTTCTTCGAAAGGAGTTAGCTGACAAAAATTTCTTAACTAAGTACCTGGCTTAAAAATTAAAGACATGATCACGTCATAGTTTTAAATAATGATATCAAAAAGCAAAGGATATTGGCCATCGCTAACAGTAGGTAGGTACGGTTTCATCTCGGATTTGGTGAATGCTATAAGATCGGACTTATACAATCCTTGATATTGTCTGGTAATATCTGAAAAAATGGTATTAGTTAACGAAAAGTGTACATACGGTTTGACATAGCTGATGATTCATACTGATGTTTTAAAAACGTTGGTTATTGATACGGTTTGATTAAAAAATGAAAAAGATCGTGATGCCTTTGATATTCGAAAAATGGTGGATGTGATCTATTTAAAGAACTTTTGATTATGATTTGACAAAATTGTTGTGGAAGGCGTTTGGTTCAAAAAAATGGTAGGATATGTGAAACCATAATGACTCATTTTCATATTTTAAAATTCGCTGGATACAGATTTGGTTTGTTTAAAAAAAATGGTGGTTATCTATTATCTAAAAATGGTGGATTCGTGTGTAACGAATTCGAATAGATTATGAGCCTGTATGTTTAAATTTCGTTGCTTGTCGCCAAAATTGCGTAGTTTTAGTGCATACTTTTGACTCATTTGTCTACCAATGTCTACCAAAGTGACAGCGTTGTACCATCATAACAATAATACTATACAAGGTGCAAACGTTATGATAGTGATTATTTAAATGGGTGATAAAGAGAAAAGAAGCAAAACATTTCATATAACATGGGGGTCAAAACGGCATTTTTTCAGAGAAAAGCGACTTTAAAGTAAAATAAAATCTGACAACGCCGCAAAGTCAGACGCAAATTTCGATCGAACGCCGTGTAAATAAAGATTGAGTTTGTTATTTTTGCCTCTCAGGTATTATTTCATTATTTGATAATGTACTCGTAAAACGCAAACAATTAAAAAGAACGGACTTACCACTAACCGTCTCAGTACTTCACCTGGCGTGTGAAAGTTTATTGAACAAAAAATCCACGTATAAATAGGGAACACAATTTTGATACATACATTGTTTTTCTTTTTAAAACCCACACTGCACTTTTTGGTATTTAAAGAAGGTGTTCAAAATGTCGTCCTCCACTTTCCACACAAGCTTCATTACGACGAACCCAGTTTCTTCTTACTCTATGTCCTCGAAGTTGTCCATTTATTATTTCAGCCGCATTAAATTTTTTTTCGCAAAGTTGTGCTTCAGTTGTTATTGGACCAGCCCCATAAACCATCCCTTTAAGTTCTCTACAATACCAGAAATCCATCGGATTGAGGTCAGAAGATCTTGCTGGCCATTTTCGAGGATCAGGAGCATTTCGACCGATCCAGCGATTTGGATAATGTTCATTCAAAATTCAAGTACTGAATGACGCCTCTAAAAATGTGTGGTGGTGCCCCGTCACGAAGAAACCACAAATTCTGTCTCCGTTGTAATGGCATGTTGTCTAAGGTCTGTTCCAAAAGTTCTGGTAGGTTATTGGCTAGAAAGCTAAGGTATCCTTCTGACAACTTTGGGGGTAACTCGAAAGGGCCAATTACCTGATCATCAAGAATATCCGCCCAAATATTTATTTTAAAACGTTGTTGGAAATGACCTTCACGAATGGTATGAAGATTTTCTTGGGCCCACGTGTGAGTATTATGAAAAATTTAATATACCGTCTCGCGTAAAAGTACATACGTCTGTCGCTAGAATGTTTTTAAAAAAATCCGGATTTTCAATGTTTTTGTGCAAAAACCACTGACAGAATGTTAGTCTGCGAGGATAGTCTTCTGGTAACAAGGCCTGCACTCGTTGTACATGGTAGCGATAAAGCAAATTTTTCCGTAGGATTCTATGGACGATAGTCCTACGCGGCGGCATAATTGCCGAGTGCTAATATCTGCATTGATTTCCACGATATTTAAAATTTGTTCCTCCTGCTCTACAGTAACCTGACTTTCACGAGTGCGAATATTAGTGGGCTGAACACTTCCTGTATCTCGAAGTCTTTGGTACAATTGCACAAATGTCCTTCTGTCTGGGTGTACCCGTTGGCGAAATCTGTCGCGATAAATTTGAGTTGCAAGATTTGAATTCTGACCAGCTTCGCCGTAAACTAACATGTTGGCGAACTATTTATTCGAGAACATTGTAAATCAACATGACGACGTACGCGAACAAAAACCAAACAACATACTAACCACTGTTACCGTTAGCGATCGATTGCCGGTTCGATAAGAGTGATGATGACCGACGCGCGTCATGTGTGTCTTAAATATTCAATTTAATCAAAACTTACTTACTTACTGACTACAAATGTTGGCTTAACTTATAAATGCCATTTATTTGTTAATTACCCAATTTAAGAACGTTTTAGATTAGATTATAAAAATTAGTAAGATTGTGGTGATTGTGGTCGATATAAAGGACTTAAAGTTGTAAACTATAAAGCCATTTAGACAAAAGTCTATTGACTTTTGGACCATGTGTCATATGGACTTTTTGACTAGTTTTGACCCCCTCTATTATCCATTTCAATAATGACTACCATAACGTTTACACCCTGTATAACTACTACACACGAGAATACGAATTTAATATAACTGTCAAAAAACTGACTTATATCAAGTGCACTTTGATTCTCACTACAGACTATGGGAATTAGGAGACAACAGGTCACTTACGGGCTTTTCTACCTAATTTGAATTCGTTGGGTGTGATATTAAATTGGTTATTAGTTACGCTAGGCTTGCAGTGTCAACTTTACGGCATTTTCAGTGAAACTGGCACCGTTCAGCCAACGTTAAGCGGTCCAGCGGTGCATCGCTTTTATGCTGAATAGCTGTAGCCAGCAAATATCTTTGTCAGTTTGACGGTAGTTTTCACTTGTTTGTCAGATTTCATAGTTTCTTCATTAATTTTGCGAGCTCTCAAAACTATTCTATGGCACTGCTGTTCAGCAAAAGCCATGCACTGCTGGACCGATCAACGTTGGCTAAATGCTCGCAATAACTTCTGGTCATGATGCTCATTACCGCTTTTCTACAAATAGGCATGTGAAGTCTAATAACCAGTCTGATAGTAGTGTCGGAAATGTATCAAAATTCAATACAGGTAAGTGAATAAATAGTCTTATTTACACACGGCAACCCCATCACAAGCTCCCCAGTCAAACATCCGGTATATCAAGATTCAACTCCGGACATTTTCTCTTCTTCCTGACTTCATATAGGGCGCACATATCGATATTCTGTTCGGCAAGTTCTTTTATAAGTTTTCGTTCTTTATCATTGAGGAACGTTATGATTCATGTAGCGTATGGCAGCTCTTTCTCCAGCTCGCAAGATTTTTTCCTAGCAAGAGGCGTCAACCTCCTTATGCTCCAAGGAAAAGTTCCGATTCTATGATGCAGTGGTGTCGCGGATGCAGATATGTTGTATCCGCAGATAGGGGAGCGTTTTAGGGGGTTTGTCGCGCAACGGCCTCATAAAGGAGAGTTCTAACGAGCAAAGTCTGTGGGAAGAGAAATAGAAGAGATTCAAATCGCCGACCGCCCGTTGGCGTCGGCTCAAGACTAGGGATGTGGCAATGAGCGAAAAAAATCAATTACTGAAAGATTTGTGGATACTCTATTGAACTTTTTGATCATTTAAAAAATGATGTAGGACAGGTCATGACAGATACATGCATACAATTTACACTTCACTAAGCATAGGAAAACGTACCCTTGCTGGGTTTGTCGTATAGAAAAATGACAAATGAACAATGGCTAAAGCATATCTCCTCAGATAGACCTTGAGAAGGTTAATGTTGGTAGTTTTCCCGAACTCTGTGTGTAACAAATGATTGTAAATCTTGGTGTATGTATACAGTAGAAATGTCTCAAATAAGGTAGTGTTATGTGCAGGAGCCGACAAATCATAGCCGCTTCTTGTGTTGTAACAGATGTTGATTGTGTTGTTTTGTGTGAATTTATTTCTATGTCAAAATGCGAAGATAGCGCATTTGTATATTTATAGCGCTGTTACTGTAAGCAGACTGTATCGGATAACGGTTTCCTTACAAGAGTCTCTATTAAAAATCATCCTAATAAATCTTTTCTGCAGTACAAATACTCTCTTTATCATACTTGCTTGTCGCCACACAGTTATGTTGTTGCAGATGTGCAGATAGATTAGCGCGTAGTACATACTTATAAGTGTAAATGTTGTAACAGTTTGTTTCATTTTACGTACTGCGAAGTACGATTCGTTAATTTTCTCGCATGCTCCCACCATGTTAGTTTTCCATACCAAGAAAAGTAGTCAGATCTTCCCGCAAACGCGGCTTGCCATTATAAAAATGCACATAAACCGTCTTACTTTTATTTAATGTGAGACGGTAGCTCTGGCACATTTCACTCATCTCCTGGACTACCTTATTAATCCTGGAGGTTTATTCTTCGGGTGATCGAGCACTGACAACTGCCGAAGTGTTTCGTTCGCGTAGCTTTGGATCGCTAATCTACGAGTATATGATAAATAGAAATGGTACCAGAATCGAACCCTGTGCGGCTCTCGCATTCACATTGTATTCTGTAAAGCAGCGACCGTCAGAAATGAAATACTCTAGTCAAACAAGAAACCCCTAATTCCGATATTGGAATGCTTTTGTTGTGGTTGAAAAAGTCAAATGTCGCTGGCTCTACAGAACCTGCGGCTCTAAATTCATGATGATTATCTGAAATGGTTACTTTCTGAGTTGTACAGCTAATAATCCGCTTATATAAGCATCTTTCAATAAATAATTTGGTCGATAATTATCCGTGTCTGTATCGTCGCATTTCTAGGAAACTGGAATAATCATAGCAAGTTTTAGGCACTCTGGAAATTTGCCTTGAAAAACTTGATTTATGAGAAACGCTAAGGATGCCGCAATCGCACTGTACATATATTTCACCACTTACATCATCACTACCACTAGATTTCTGGGCCGGTAAATCACAGATTATTTCCGTGATTTCGGTTCCCCTTATCGAATTGAGAAAAATCTATCAAAAAAATAATAAATTTTTCCGGAAAAACTGATTTATTCTATTAATCCACAAACTCCGTCTTTTTCTATAGAGTAACTATAAAACTGAGTGATCAACATTACCAATTTATTAGAATAAAATCAAATAAGATGATGAGTATATAAATAACCATAATGACAACCTTCGGTTTCAACAAGAACAAATGTTTTTCAGTTTAAACATTTTTTTCAGAATCAAAATAAAACAAATACAATGGTTACAAAAAATAAACGTTATAAAACCTTGAATACGTAACAAAACATTTTTGAACTTTAAACATTAAAAAACTAAAGATCATTATTGCCATAATACCTCAATAGATGAAATTCAAAATTTTACTAGAATGAAAATAATAAGCGATATGTATAAAAATAGAACTACAAAGTTATGGTCTGGGAACTAAAATACTAATTTTTAAGTTTAAAATACCTAGGAGGTTCCTCATTGGGCGCTGGTGTCGAGAACCATACTACCTGCTAATCAGGTCGCGATTCTCGAGATATTACAGAAACTCTCGATTGACGCACTTTCTTATGCACCTGGTAATATAATACCTTATATCTTATCTAGCATGTTTGAGATTGTGCCCTAGATATGAAAATCATTTTTATAGTATGACCTAGAGAAGATTTAGTATTCTCTAATCCATTCCGAAATTCTGCACAAATTATCGATTTTTTAAATATATCCATTGGATTTTAAGTTTCGAAACCTACAAGAAAAAGAAATTTAATAAGCCGAACAATATTTATGATCCGAAGACAGTATTACGTGAGAACTATAATTAACAACTGTAGAGGCAGTTATTTCGCGAAGCGTGATGCGTAAGGATAAAAGATTTTTAAAAAAGGCAAGCGGTTATCTTCGATGTTTTCCCCAGCTAAGAATAAATTGTTTTTCATGAGGGCTCTCTAAATCATAACTATACCAAAACAGCAACGTAAATATTAATAAATTATGACAATAGTCAATCTCAATGTTCTCATACATCAGACACTTAAAACATTACTAATCAGCTAATTTTTGGATTGACATCATCTATGCAACCATACACGCGCCAACCCAGACACTGGAAAAATATTGATTATTTCAGATACCTCTACTGAACTACATAACAAACTAGAATACTGTGTTATGTCGTGAATCGCGAAGCTTACGACGTTAGAAGTAGTTTTTAAGCATTATGAAGAGCTTGTATGGAGTGCTAGCGTGTATCTTCCAGCTTTACTTAGATGAAGGTATGATTATTTTTCATAAACGAGATATTAACATATTCCCCTTGCTTTTTTGTGACCTACTTAGTATAATCCATAACCATTCGTTGATGACTGAATTGGAAGAAAAGGAGGCCGTTTGAATATTTTCACATGTTATATGTCCCATGTAGTTTTTCTCAAAGTTACACCATTTTTCGTTCTTTCTTACCGAATAATAATCAACTGTTACAGCCAAAGGAATTAATGACAATTCCTGGTTAAATATTTCATTTTTAGTAACTGAATTTAAGTTTCACTACGTACAACCATAACTCATAATGTGTTAAAATTTTTGTGTATTAATATTAATGAACCACAAAAATGCATATTATCTAAATTTTCAGCATTATGCAATATTTATACTATGTGAAAAGATAATTATATATCTTAGGTATCATCCACCCACAGGCTGCGCCTACTCTGAATATTGTTCTATATTTTTTTATCTCTTTGTAATTTTGGTGAATAAACATCATTTCGTTTTATATTGTCCATAAGTGTTTTCAAATGAAGCTTTGTCGGTTTTGGCTCCAAGCGCTAAGCTCCAAAGAGAAGATATCAATAGTTTTGAACCATTGCAATGTTCAAATTATTACTCATGTAGTAAAACATATATAGCAAGAATTGTGAGTTCTGTATTCAGGTACTTTTGGACAAAAACTCTTATTGACTGAATAATTTCATCCATTTATCTACGATGGACGAGCTCCTGCAAAGGAGGCCAAGAAGTCGAATGTTTCCATATGAAGCCCAAAGCTGGGCTCTCAAGGAGCGCTAACGTGATCCTCGTGTTCGCGGAATTGTTTCCATCTGAACGAGGTATTGGTAGTTTGTCTCTGACGCCATCGGAATAAATGCAACTTCACGGCCGCTCACGCATGGTATCAAACACGTTTGATGTGTAATGAAGCGCCTTTCAGGAGGCAAATCAAGCTTCACTTCAGATATCTGAAGCAATTTTTTTTAAATCTTCAGGGTATTCACTTCTTAGTTCAGAGTGTGGTCCTATTTTTCATTTCTACAGGTGATTTTCAACCGTTTCGCTAACATACCACTAAAATCAGAACTTAGGAAAGCACAACTACCAATCAGAATCTCCTTCATGGTTGGCTTCGTGATTGGTAATGGTGTGAACCATCCACGACCCTCGCTGCTTCACTTTTCACTTCCCAACCAAGATAAGAGTCACGGGAGGAGATCGGAATTGTGCCACGCGTTCGTCTTTTTTGTCTCGTGTGAATCTAGCTTTAAAGGTACTTACTGGGTTCGAACCTCCGCTTCGGAAACGATTTTCGAGCTATGGATGTTGCTGTGTGTTGTCTATACTACCTATGCACCCCATCGGTGCAAGATCAATATAGGCTCATCGCATCGCTGAAGCTTGTTTATTCAACAAGCAGTTACCAGCAGATGGCTTGTGAGATATAGCTGTATAGTGTTAGCCCTACGGGGTCGGCAAAAAGATTCAAAGTTCAAAGTTGGCAGGCTTCGCCTCCCCACCATGGGTGCTAGGATTGAAAATAACAAAACACAGTTTTAACATTTAAAGAATTAGAGATGGTGTAGTCTTACTATACCGAATTTATGGACTAACTGCAAACGATGGGAGTGCACATATTGTATTGATGTGGAGCTCAATAAGAATAGTGAGATACTTTGGATCCTTATGATTTTAAGGAAATGGAAGCTAAGGTTATCCTTAATTTTGCTAGAAAAGCGTAACAGAGCCCGGCAGGTGGCTTATGCATCAGTACCCTCTTTGTTGCTGGAATGCTTGTATTTTCTCATTCATTAATTTGTACCTGTTTTGGAGCATCATGCTATCATCGTCAAAATGTGTGAACATAATTCAGTTTTACTTTATATGGTGTTATTGATTTAGAATATTAAACACGTCATCATGAATATTCAGGTATCTGACTAAATTTAGGATGAGCTGGCCTTGATGTAACTTTAAAACTCCATAGTAGTGCCTCAAGAGGTAGCATTCAAATATTACGCAATAGTTTTCCCAGATTCCATAATAGTTTATCTATCGCATTAAATGTATGGTTGCAATGTAGCAAAGATAGCCTACTTTCTGCACGACCCAAATATTCTAGGTCGGTTGTGTATCTTGAATTTTTTGGTACTGAATCCAATAAAAAATTATGTTGGTTTCACTGTAAATTGAATGGTTTCTGGAATGGAAAGAAAAAATGAAGTACCTTTTCCTATGTAATGATACAGTTTTAACTGGATTTCTAGATATTCATATCTAGAGGATAATAATTATTTTGTAATGTTGCGAAAGGTTCAAATCAATTTAAATTGCGGCAACGGCCAGCGAGGCAGATAGAAATCGAATGAAACCAACTCGCTTCCTGAACTGCTTTAATCTCTCAACTTCAAGTTAGGATTGCAGACTCCAGATTAAAAATTTAATTATCGTTATTGCCTTTACAAAAAACTCAAAAACTTATGGAACAATAGCTTACCATTTCATTGTCTTAATAACAATTCAGACATGCAAGCCATCTTGGAGATATCTGATGAGGTTGTCACAATGACAATTCCTTTATCTTTATGAGGTTAGCTCTTATCTCTGTTAGCAACCTTACTGAAATCTGCTGTAAGATTTAAGATTATCCATTGTGTACCGAACGCAACACATATGAAAGCGCTGGTTAGCATCTTCGCATCTGCTTGGAAAAATAACTCGGATTTTTTGCAAATTGTCATTTGAAAAGGAACCCTTTAACGAATCTGCATGTTGCCAGATCCAACATTGCGTTAAGAATTGTATATAATTTCTTTTTTAAGTACCAACACTTGATTAATTCGCTTCGGTCTAAGCATTTTTCGGATTTTCAGAGACTCAAAGAGAAAAGAAAACTTTTCTCTAAAGTGGGTAGTTTTCAAGATTACAAAGATTGTATGCTAAAACGATAATTTTAATGTAGCCAAAATTTTTAAAATTTTCCTCAAACGTCTCAAAGCATTCCAGGGGGTATTGTTATTATAAATCTTTGGTTTTGATTGTTTTTATAGTATGCGCTAAATGTATCTTCTGCGTTAGTATCAGAGAAATGTAGCTGGCGGCCAACCGTATCTTGCAGAATATTTAGGAACTTTGAAATGATTAGAATTTTCGATTTTCGTATTTTTTTTTTTCGAGGTCGAAATTCGTTCGGTCCTTTTTGAATAAGAATGTACAAAAAATCTTAATCAGAATATTTTTCTTATCTGACTTGAAGATACTATCCTGGACTATCAATTTCGAGTTAGATTATCTTAGATATCCCCCAATTTTGGAGGTCATGGTATAAAACTTTTTTGTTTCCTTGGAGCATTTACAAGAAAATTTAACACTTATCAAAGTGATCCGCTCTGGGCCCAAAACCCCTTTATAGTTTGGCACTTTTTTTTGTTAACAGAGAAAAATGTTGAACTGATGTCCATCTGATGTCTCAACCAGGAAGGACCCGTGTTCTTTCAGGGCATTGGCCATGTTTACAGCGCAGGTAGCCAAGTACCGATATCGAGCATAACCACTTATAGCACTCGGTGCAAACAGGAACAGAACAGCATTGACGCAGAGAACTATAGTGCTCCGTGGCTATTTAAGTGCTGGGCTACCAAAGGTGTAAACATGACCATTGGGTCCTGCTAGAAGACCTCTAGCTATACGAATATGATTTCTGCTGGTTGAAGCAGTTCTGTCGCAGTTTGCAGGTCCACAAGTTGCATACTTTCTAATGTCTGTATCCAGATACTAAATTGTAATATTCCTCGTGCTGTTGCCTTGGCCATTCTTGTATTTGGCTTATAGAGCTTTTTGGTTCCACCAGGCGTTGGATGGGACACATATTTCCTTCCTTGCAAACCGGTATCCTCTCTTGCGTTTGTTACCTAAATATTTGATAGCCTTCATAAACAAAAATTCTTGTATTTCAGTACATTCTATCGACTGTTTCAAGTGCATTTCCATAAACGGCGAGTATCCTCCATGCGAAGATCCCTTCCACAATAACTACACTACGGAGATTTTGCACTCTCCCTGCATGGGAGGAAGGAAAGGGAGAGACGGCTTGTTTCCAGCAACATCCTGCATAAAAATTACAGGCATTATAGGTAAGGTTGTTTCTTGGAGAACATGTCTATGGGTCCAAATTGTACGCATCGAACTGTTCACACCAAACTACACTACTTAGACGCCCTAAAAACCTGGACAAAAGTGGAAATAAAATTGCATTTGACTCCAGGTTCTGCTCACAGTTGAAGGGATACACATTCATATTTCGATAGCATTAATTCCACTTAGCTGGCTTTGCATGTTTAATTACAGTGAAGTAAATGTCTGTCACATCAAACGACAACACGTCGAAAAGTTGTGTCAAAAAAGTCTGGACAGGGTGTTCCGTACTTAAATACTGAAACCGTAGGTGGTATGGATCGAGATCTTTTAATATGTTGAAATAAAAAAGTTATAATATATTGATTCCACCTCTTTTGGTATTTTAGTTAAGCATTTTTATCTATTCAAATATCGTGTTTTTAGCAGTGTATCTGACGCAAAACTCAAAATTTCAATATAATTTAATATCAAAATTTGACATTTTTTTGTGTAATTTTTGGATGATTCAATTCTACCAACTGATATTAGATTTGTACAAGATTCCTGCTCAAAAGGGGACCGGCATTCAATAAACAGTCCCACTAAATTTCTATCTTCCACCAAACTACACTACTTAGACGCCCTAAAAACCTGGACAAAAGTGGAAATAAAATTGCATTTGACTCCAGGTTCTGCTCACGGTTGAAGGGATACACATTCATATTTCGATAGCATTAATTCCACTTAGCTGGCTTTGCATGTTTAATTACAGTGAAGTAAATGTCTGTCACATCAAACGACAACACGTCGAAAAGTTGTGTCAAAAAAGTCTGGACAGGGTGTTCCGTACTTAAATACTGAAACCGTAGGTGGTATGGATCGAGATCTTTTAATATGTTGAAATAAAAAAGTTATAATATATTGATTCCACCTCTTTTGGTATTTTAGTTAAGCATTTTTATCTATTCAAATATCGTGTTTTTAGCAGTGTATCTGACGCAAAACTCAAAATTTCAATATAATTTAATATCAAAATTTGACATTTTTTTGTGTAATTTTTGGATGATTCAATTCTACCAACTGATATTAGATTTGTACAAGATTCCTGCTCAAAAGGGGACCGGCATTCAATAAACAGTCCCACTAAATTTCTATCTTCCAGACCAACTTGATATTAAGTTACAAATCCACCAAAACGTGGTCTACACTTGACAATTAATTGTGTAATTTACCATGTGTCCATTTTGTAACTAAATCTATCTTAGGGTTGTGGTAAGAGCACGTAAACGTGTCCATGCGGAAATTTCAGGCCCGTGTGTTAGGTTTTTCTACATTTTCATCATACCAAATACCGTTTCCCTTTAAATCAGGTCGTATGTTGTTGTATACCATTAGTTGGTAGAATTAAATCATTAAGAAATCTCAAAAAAGAACTAAATTGGGTACGTAACATTAAATTTCTTTTTTATTTATATCATGCTCTTTTTTTAGTCGCAATAATAGCAAATTCAGAGTATAACTTTCAGGGCGTTATACTTGATCAAATATGACATAAAAAAACTGAATCCGACCCTGGAATTTTGAGCTCTCAAAACGCAATTAGTTCAGTTTTAGACATTATTTTGTGTAATCAAAAGAAGGTCGTTTCCTGTAAATGGAAAGTTGGCTTTACATTGCATTTTATTTTTTTCATTTCGTATGACTTTTATATCAATTTCAAAGGTTTTTCAGGTGATGCAAACAGAAAATTTGCCTTTTTGTCAATTTACGTGACTAGAATGGGATGAACAATACCTTTGAACGAAAGGACTCATTATTCTAAAATATATTTTTTCTAAGCTGACGATACTTCGTGAAAGCTAGGCCGTTAATATCGTTGTTTTCTAAAAACATCGGCATACCTCATTCAGAAAACTTTTTTCCACCCCAATCAGAGGTTAAAACGGAGTCGTTTATTTCTCGAAAGAACTTCATTACATTAACCCAGTATGGACCTAACAGCCTCGGGTGGTGACTCAATAGAACTTTCTGGCACGTTTGACCCACGGACTGGTCAGAAAAACCCTCAGAGGCACATGTATTATTGCAAGTGGTCGACGAAAAGTGATAGACTTTTTTCTTCCAGATGAAACAGGGGAGAAAATGATTCTGAGAGGGTGCGCCTTGGATAGCGGGACGCTTACTACAGATACTGAAATTGTCAGGATGTCCCATTGTGGAGGGTTTTATTACGATGGAAAGTAAGAGACTGTCTCATTTGTAGAATTCTTTAATAAAATTTTGTATGTGTGAAGGGTATTTACCGCATTTGTGAAATTCTTTTTTTAGATAAAGGTGAATTGAGGTTCAGTTCCTTAATCTAAATTCGCTCAGTCCTTAAGCTTTTGTATCCTCGTCTAGCGGTATATATAGCTATTTACGTATATTCTGAATGCTCTTCGCAATTTTCTGGACTATTCCCCTTCATTTATTTTTGACTAGGCTATTCACTATAAGCAGGGCAGTTGAAGGTCACATGATTTGTCATACTTGGTTCATTCTACCTCCTCATCATTTCCTGCAAAACTTTCTTCATAGTGGGTAGCGTTGCACTAGGTTTTCATAAGATATAAGCCATCCATTCTCTATCGTTCACATACTAGTTGGTACATATATTTATATCTATGTACATGTACAACCGAGCAAAATAGAAACCTATTCGCAATTCGTAAATTCTCTCTTTCCTACCCACTTCAGGTAGCAATCAAAACAACCATGTGAGGAACTGTGTAGTAAAGTAATCAAACTGCACCGCTTCCTTGTCAATCCAAGCTTTAATACCCCACCTCTGCTGCCATCTGACGGAAATGGCATTTCTTTCGTCGCCTTTTATATAGTGCATATCTCACCGCAGCCAGCTAATTAATTGGCAGAACACCAGCTACCACCGGCAGTGCATCAGATGACACTTTTCTGTAAGTGCGTACTATGCGCAGGATGACTTTTCGCTGACTTCTCAGTATTAGCATATTGTTACATATAAGAGTTCCTTATAGCATAACCGAGTTCGCCACCCCTGCCAAAATCCCGTGCCACTCCTTCAGTTTTTGCCGAAAGCACCTTTAAGATGATATGGCAATCGAGGCATGGTTGTGGCTTGCAAAGGCCATCAGAGTCATACAGCTATCTGCACCTTCATAAGTTTTATGATTGGATTCGTCTCCGCTTAAAATGCTGATATCTGCTCTGCTTACCCAGGTTTGATCTTCCTTTGTTTAGGCATGATGCCTATTGCGCATGTTCTTGTACTTAATCAGGCTTCCAACCCATCGATGTATATGAATGTGATGCTATCACTCCTGTGTAAGGTGGTCATCGTATCATGTCTCTATAGATACAAACATTGACAGATGTACGTATAGCTTAGTTGATGAAATAAAAGATGTTTGGTTCAGTTCTGCCATGGAGCAAACTTTTTTTTAAATTAAATATTTGATGTGATACCGAGATAACGAGATAACGAGTATTTATGTAGTCGTAGATCTGAAAAATAATACTGCTGACACTGCACAAGGTAAAGTGAAGACAATTTGACACACTGTCAACATAGCAGTAAATTTCCAAAGATATATTCTCACCCCCAGAACTGCAGACCTCTTTCCAGGTCAAACCAACAAACTGCCATTGAATCGATTTCATTCCATAGCATGCTCAAGGTGGGTGAGAGTAAATACGCTGCTAATACGGTCGCAGATGCCAAATGGAAACCTATCGTAAACAGGTTAAGGATTCTGAAGCTATTCAGTTCAGAAATCTCTAGGTTGGACGAAAAACGTATGCAGAGTGAGATAGAAGCCATTTGTGGAACATGCTATTTCTGCACATATCAACATCTTCGATGCTTTTGCTACAGCTGCCATATAGTGGCGGGTGTTTTTCATATCACATTCAAAAAGTGGTGTGTGCTTGGACTCCCACTGTTTTTCCGATGTATTTGTTCACGCCGAACATGAGTAAAAACTGGAGGTTGTCAAATTAGAAAGTAATGCCTGGTTAAGATGACAGATTTTGGTATTTTTTATGGATATACATCTTTCCTGAGGTGTTTGAGGTATGCACATGCACCAGAAATACCAAAATCTTTAATTCTAATGTCTAAATTACTTTCATATTTGCCCACATTCCCCAATTTTGGCTTCAGGTTCCTGTTCAGCGGGAAAAATGCAATATAGTGAGACCTCCAGCACGTACCACTTTTTATGTTTTTGTGGACCTCTGGATCGTTTTTATACGTTTTCCCTAAAACGTGTCAACCAATTCCCAATTTTGACTTCAGATTCGAGTTCAGCGTGACAATTTGCACAGAAAAAAGTACTAGGACCCCAAGCATAGATAACTTTATTTTGTAAGCTTGTGTGGGGCTTTCTGCCGAGTCCAACTTAGAAGCCGTAAAAGTGGTCTATGGAAATCCATTCTAGTATTATATAGTTTGAGTTTAGCTGGCATAACTTTGGCTACGAAGGAGATTGCCCACAGAAGTGCTACAGATGCAGATAGGCAACATTGGCTCTTAAGTGTTGCAAACTTGACAGCATCATTATATGTATCTGGCTCTTTTTTGTTAGATAATTCCTCAGCTAGTGATGAAGTGAAACGCTACTTCTCTGTGTTCAGACTGCAGCGTTGCATAAAGGAAGAAAGCACTAAGTTCATGCTGTAAAGACTTGCTTTGTCCAACCTGTTCTAACAACATGTTAATCTATTCATGGGGGTGTTGGTGTTTTGTGGCTAATGAAATGGGCACGCCGCTGTACCATTACTCCCTTCAATAATTTAAAAGTAGCTGATAATTCAGCTGAGCCCTGAGTAATTTTTAGGGAGGACGTAAAAAGGGCCCAAATGGGGCGTAAGTGCAGTGATTACCTTCGATAATAAAATACATAACCGTATCGGCAGCACAAGAGAAAGTGGTGGAGCATAGAAGCTGCTACATTATCATTTTCAAAAGAAAATTCCTCAAGGATCTATCTGCTATCGGGATAGGTCCTTGTAATAATTGACATCGATCGGCTTCCTTTCCTGCTGACAAATGACTGTATCATGCAGTAAGGTGGCATTTGAGTTAATGGACATTACAGTTGATTGTACAAAAGCGTTTTAATTTTTGATACTTCTATTATAGTTTTTGCGACGGAGGAAGGGGCTTTTACACTTGCTCTCATGCGAGAAGGCTCCACAGTACTATTTGCTTGCATTTCCTGAATCTGATAGTCTCTCTCTCTCACAAAAGCTCCCTTGTCATCTGCTAATAATTCTACTGACGTAGTGCCTGTGCATTTCGTCATGGTCATTGCTTACCGTTCAGTAGCCGTTTAACGATTGACGTGTTATTCTGGAGTACAATTAACAACACACTTAATTATTCCAAATATTAATACATCTATCTGTCCTTACCAACAAATTGGAATAGGTTTAGAACGAGACAAGGCTATATGCTTACACTGAATTGTTTTCGCTGTAATTGTGCATACCTTTGGCTCATTTGTCTATTGCCTACCAAAGTGACAATCCAAATACTAGTATTATTCGTCGTTGTTCGTCAGAGCGGTTCGGTGGACCTTTGCTCTTAGTTAAAAGTCTCGTCTGTTAGTCTGTCAGGTCTGGCTACCAGATATCAGACATGTTTAAGGGGAAAAGGGAATGAAAGGAAGAAAGAAATAAACCAAAGAAAAGAAGTAAATCATTTGAAATAGTTTAATATTATTTGTTTGGCTACTCGAATGATTTTGTAACGCTAAAAAATAATTTTGATCGGTTTTGAATACTGAAATAATTTTGGTTGGTAATGTGCTAAATGTTTAGTGCAATAAAGACCCTTTATTATTATTATTATTATTATTATTATTATAAATTCACAATTTAATTTTGATCACAGTGCGAGGCGCGACCTGGAATGCTTGCGAACTTCCTCGACTGTGTAGTCTACTGAATCACGCAACAGAGGGCTGCTATGCGATTTTGCTTGATTATAACGCCGCTGTGCCTGTTGTTTTACATAATCCCTTAGATATAGGATATCAAGATCTCTGTGAATGGTTTCATTTGACACGTACCATGGGGCGTTGGGGATTGTGCGCAGGGTTCTGTTTTGCAGGACTTGCAGTCTCTGCATGTACGTCTCAGCAAAAAAACACCAAACCGAGCATGCGTGGGTGATTGCGGGTCTTATGACCATTTGATACAGCCGAATCTTGTTGATCAAACTTAATTTTGAATTTCTGCACGACGAAGGTTAAAGCTGCTGAAAGGTAATTTGGAATTGTGTTTTCAAAATATCAGTATGTTTCTGTCAAGCCAACCCCTTGTCAATGATGACTCAAAGGCACCTGACAGATAGTTTCCATGGTATACGAATTCCATTCACTGATATCTCTGATGTGGCACCACGACGTTTTTTAGTACAATAGATTGCTTGCGTATTGGAAGTATTAATTTTGATCAGTCACCGATCCGCCCACTCCAATACTTCCTTCACCGTCTTGTATATAAAGTGAATTAAGGATTGGTCCTAAGACCGAACCCTGAGGAACACTGGCTCTTACGGGCCGTGTTGTTGACAAGACATTGGTAATTTTGATCCGAAATTTCCTTCCTCCTAGAAAAGATTTCAACAGTTTTAGTAGCCAAACTGGAAAGCGCCTTTGGATGAGCTTATACAAGAGGTCCATGTGTCACACCTTGTCAAATGCCTTTGATACACCTAAAAGCAAGATACCTTTACTTTTGTTGAGGGTGAACTCCCTGGATACATGACTGTAGCTCCTGTAGCTCCGTACTATGCTCAGACCGAAAGCCAAATTGCACGTCAGGAATCACATGATGATCTGAATTGAACATTTCAAGGTGACGGTAAATCACCTTTGCAGCGAGCTTAGAAGGAGTTGACAGCAGGCTAATGGGACGGTAATCCTAACGAACCCACCATCTTTGGGATCATGGGGACTTCAGCAATTTTCCAAGCCTTAGGAGAGTACTGAGTTCTGAGCGTTGAATTGATTATTATTGACCAGATAAGTCGAAGCCTTGATCCCCTTTAGGTGCTAACGCACCTTTAGGCCCTTAATGTAGCCTTGGAGCTCTGCTGGTGTGCAAAACGGAATCACAGAAGATTCCGCTGAAGAGTCTTCCGTAGAAGAGTGTTCTGAAAAGGAGTCACCGATGTTAGCACTGATGTTATTGTCGCCATCTGCTCTGAAATATCTCCTGACAGATCTTACAATTTGTCGTTCCTCGTCAAGGTCATTGTCCAGATCATAATAGGGAGACAACTGCCATTCCATGATGTCAGCAAAAATTATATTTGAGACAATCATCCACACCATAAAGTCGCTCCACTACTCATTGCGGAATTCATGGAGCGCATTTCTCTCTTCATGGACTAGATTCTTCGCTCTACGTATGTCATCAGGATGAAAGCCAAATACATCTGCGTATATTTTTTCTCTGAAGAAGTATTCAAGTAGCCAGTCATACTGGGTGTACTCACGTTTTGCGTGGCAAAAATACTATCTGTATTGCGAAGTGAATCGGACAGTAATTTCTAATAAACAGGCATAAATTAAATAAGGCAAACGAAAACAAAAGCATATCTTTATTTACGCTCTAGCACATGAACTCCACTTAATTCGTGATTTTGGAAGGTAAAAAATAAATAATAATATATAAATAGTTGTGATTCAGGCACATTCTTAGCATAATATGAAAATTACTGTTATTGTATTATAGGTATTTATCCTATAAAAATATTTGGAAGCAATTCATTAATTTGATATTCATAGTTTTTTGGAGCCTATAAAGCTTCCTCACTAGAATTTTGTGGGAATAAGATGATAACATTAGATTACTACGAGTATTTAAAACATGAATAAAGGAAAAACATTTCCTAAGATTTCATAGATTCAAAATTAAAGAAGGTAAGACCCAAAGCTAAACAGTCAGTTGGCTAGTATCCATAAAAAGAGTTGGTTTGTTTTTAATACCTTTCATTTTTCAAAGTTGTTAGGTATAGAATCCTGTTAACAAATCTTAGATTCGGACTAAGCACTCGAAACAACAAGGAGTGGACTCAATGAAATCAAAATTACCTCACAACTGTTCATGTATAAGCCCAACGCTGCGGTACATCCCCTTATGCAACCCCGGTGACTATAATGCATTATCGACCAATTATTCTGTTCAAACAGCTGTTTGCATTCCGCAGAAGACGTCACCACTTTCGACAATCATCTGCTACACTACGACTGTGTGGAACCCACGCATTTGTATATGCGAAAAATGCGAATTTCATGTGAAATATCAACAACTGTCAAAACTGGTGGCTTAAGCCTGATCGACTTGTAGAAAGAACTTTCATCCTCATTACAGACTATCAGATCTTGGAGCTTAACAAATCATATACTTGCTCCTTCTACCTAGTCTGAATTCGTTGGTCCTTATCACTTCCACACGTTAGCCTAGTGTATTCTGTTTGAAACAACACGGCTCTTTTAGGATTTCAGTAGTCAAAATAGTCCACAGTGGGGGTAATTATAACTTATAAAGTAGAAACATACACACGAGTAGAGTATGCACTTTGTATACAACTGTTCACACATTGTTGGGTTTCTGTTAAGTACAAGGATAGTCTAGTAGACAAGAGAAATAAGGTCGCGGTAAACTTACTGGAGTAGAGAAAAGTTTTCTCAAGAAGGGGGAGAAGGGGATGTGTGAAATCCGAAAACTCCGCAAAAGACCCAAATCCATGCTAAATCTGCAAATTTAAATGTCAACGGGAAAGTACCTCGTATTTTTCATTAATAATGAATGAACTCATAATAATGAATTATATGATTCGCAGGTACGTCAAGGGATGTGTCCAAAGCTGCAATGATGTAGATGCATGCAATTCATCAGTACGAGAAAAGCCTAACGCTTGTTATTTTATTAGTTTAAGCATTGTTATTGTGTGTCATATTTTATCATATCAATGAATCTTGTGGATGATAATCATTTGAAAATATATTTTGTTGAAGAAAATATTACCATTCTTCATTGTGCATATACATGGCGTTGATGTGGTCAAGCAGATTATATATATAGCCTAAACTCAATCGGGGCAGGCATCATTGATTTGTAGTTAGGCAGATGTTTGCACGTCGCTATCATGTAGACCTATCTTAACAAGCTTTTATTTAACTTGACCTGTTTGTTAGTATGTTACTATATATATGTACGTTTGTATGTGATGGACAAATTGTCTGAATTTTGAATCAGTTATTGATCTGAACTTGTGTACACACCTTTGACTGGCCTTACAATACGAAATGTATTAACTGCTGCCGTTTTGAGTCAAACATGACGGATGCTACAAAATAGCGATTCAACGATTCCATAGTAATCCGTATGATATGGGTATCAAATAAAAGGGCTTGATGAGAGGAATGCAAAGTGACATCATTCTAAATCTATATTGGACGTCGCTGTCGAAAAATGGATGCTTAGATAATCACCTCAACGACATGGGTATCGACTAAACGGGATTGATGAGCGAAACACAATAAGTATAGTGATGTCATTCTAGATCCAATATATGGTCGCCGCAAAATGGCGATTTACATTTTTCACACCCCTATGACTATCAAATAAAAGGGCTTGATAAGAGGAACATAAGAAGCAAGGTGAATGAATTGAATGAATGAAAACACGAAATTAGAGGCATATCGGCCACCAAAAGGAGCCAGCGCATAAGCAAGGTGACATCATTCTAGATCCAATATGGCTGCCGCCACTTAAATGGTCGCTGCTATGAAATCGGTATCAAATGAAAGCAAATAACGTCATTTTAAATTATATATATATGATTACATCTATCGAAATTTCATAATACAAAATAAAGTAAGAAGTTTTTTGAAGTTCTATTAATAAAACTAATAAAGGTTATATAGAAATTACCAAACTAGTTATTTCATTTCATAAATACTAAAAAGTGAAAATAAATAAAATGAAAAGCATATTTAAAAAAAGCTTTTAATCAGCTAGTCGTAAAATGAACGACGAACCAAAAAATATTTTTTTGATTGGAAATATTTACACGATAATGAAGCTCCTTTATCTCAAGTTTCCAGATAAAAGTGTGTTACGTTTTGACAGCAGGATGGAAAAAGGGTGTGACAACACTTCTTTATGTGAAAACTTGAGATGAAGGAGCTTCACTGTCGTTCAAATATTTCCAATCGGAAAAATATTTCAAAATTTTTAGTTCATTTTATGAATAGCCAAATAAAAGCTTGTTTTCAAAATTGCTTTTATTTATTCAATTTTGTATATAATCCTTCATTCCTTCTAAATTCAAAGGGTGGATCTACTTCGTGAAAAGTCTATTGGATTTGTTGATATGTCACAATAATTAGAGCAATAAAACTGTCCTTCTTCGTTCAAAATTTCGATTCCGAGTGGCCTAGGAATATTAGAATTTCTCCGCCATATAATTTCATTTGCGACTTTAGCAGAAACATCCAATATGAGTTATCAGTTAGTACATAGAATATTATTTAAACTAACAAGTATAAAAAGCTACTTAGTATGAATTTTCAGTTCTATCAAGCAGGAGAGTATGGTAACAATAATGTGTATACAGCGAATGGATTTACATTTTAGATAATGCGTAAAATAATTTCATAATGTGCATCAATAATTTCATAACTGTACACGTATAATTTGGAATTATTAAAGCCCATTTATATCAATATAATGACCGTCCAAACTGAATTTATAGTACTGCAAAATATTTCTATTTTCGTATTGGCAGAGATGGAATTTGCTTAACTTTTCGATATTTCGAGGATGAAACCTCATCGATCAACCGTTGACAAAGAACAACTCAATTTAGTTTCCGGGTCTATAATCGAAATTAGTTTTCACGAGCTTCACCTTGTAGTTCACTGCATGAATGGCTCGATTCCTATGTTTTACTCAATTGGATTTTTAATACAAGTAAATGCAAGAGAAAATAGTAATTTCTAATTTATAAGATGGAGATTACACAATTGAGAAAACCATAGGACAGGAATGGAAATCTGGCAGTTATAATACTATTTTGAGTACACCATATTGGACTCCGTAATTGCTTTGAGATCAACAGTGTAACGAAACTACTACTAAGGATATGTTGGGCAGGTTTATATCCACTTGAGGTATGCTTCTTAAGAACCTGCATCAGGATAGAGCAGCAAATTCGCAATTTAAAGCATTGAGGAATTTAGAACAAGATAAACAGTAAACATACAACGTTATTTAGTCATTAATTATACGTTATTACCGTTGATACCCATAAGATAGAAATTATAAAACGAATGCCTTCACTTACTGTATATATCTTATCAGGTCCTATTATACGATATCCATATCATAGGGGTCACTATGGAAATGAAAAATCGCCGTTTTGTTGCATCCAGCATATGGGATGCGTAATGGCGCCGTGTAATTTTTGTGCATTGTCATAACCAAACGTGTACCTATTATATAAAATTTCACCTTCTTTGGTTACAGTTAACTGGTTAAAAATGTTGTTTCGAAATTTGTTACACAGTAAGATACAAACAGGGCAAGTTATAAATGAATATACAAAAAATTGTAAAAAGTACTAGCAACAGACGTTCTCAATCATTTACGACTGCAACATCTAAAGTAATAAACCAGAAGATAACACAGTGTCCTGTAGCACATAACAAAGACTGGAGTCATAGAAGTATACCATTTCTGTTTCTAATCGACACCACACTAAAACCCAAGTAGACCTTATATGAAACAAAACTGTCATAATCGTAACTCTCTAAATTAATAAGTGTGCCATCGACGGTCCGCACGTGGAGCATCTAAACGTATCAGGACATACATGCTTACTGCAGTCACATCGAGATGCAGTTGTTCCATTGTAATCTTTCCATCCCAGACCTATACCACACTGACGAGTACGAAAAAGATCTGTCTGCAGTCTACGCGGTTGGCTAAAGTTACAGAGACGAAAAGCAAACATGTCCACTTCAGCCACTGATTAAGCGGTGCTTGTGTCATGTATCATCTATCTATATAGAATTCTGGTTTTTCTGTTGGATCTATCACAATTAGAAGTTTCACAAGCACAAATACTGGGTTTGTACCAATAAAATGTTCTCTACAAAGCCGCACGTACACACAATTGGTTGTTTACAAAAGTATTGAATCTGTCCTGAAAAATTAAGTGATGAGACTGTTTGTATAATCTTTTCATTCAAATATAGTTAAAACTTTATATTTTCAACCTCAAAATAACGCTGGAGGTGGTTCTTCCATTCCTCATAGCAGTGGTGGAGCTCCGATACTGGAATGGCTTTCAGCTGGTCGGTGACAGCCATTTGAATGTGTTCGACTGTCTCAAAATGAGTTCCCTTGAGGTGATTTTCCAACTTCTGGAAGAAAAAAAGTCAATAGGACTCAAGTCAGGCAAATAAGGACAGCTGAGGTGCCACAGGGATGTATTTATTGTGCAAAACTCGTTTACTGACATTGCTGCGTGACAGCGAGCATTATCCTGATGCAACACCCAGTTGTTCTTGATCTGATGATCGGTGGTGTCAGTCAAATGTAACTCTTCCTCGATAATTCTGACTGTAAATCGACGATCTGTGATTCTGTCTAAATTTTCATCGGTTTTTGAAGAAGGCCATTCGCTTCGTGGTTCATCTTCAAACGACTGTCTCCCTTCTGAAAATGACTTAAATCACCAAGAGTTTCCGTTGCACTATGTCCAACTCTGAAGCGAAACCTGATAGCACACCGTTCGAAATTTATGTCATTCATTTTTAGAAAAACTGTTTCACAAAAAAATCGCTACGGAGAACCAAATAACTCGAGCGAGTTCAAAATTGTACTGAAGGCAGATCATATGCTCCCCTGTCTCCCCCCCCAACCCCGATGCCACCAGTGTTGCCAGATCGATCTCTAGTTTGCCAGTCTCACCACTTATTTAGACTTCGTACGTTGATTGATCGACTGACGCTATCTAAAATTACGATTGCTGAAGTACCTACGATTGAGGATACAGAAACTTTTCGGCAGCACATGTCTAGAAATGATAAATAATTGCCTTGATTAACGGTAAATCATTTACTCTCCAATTTATTATAGTCCCGTAATAAAAATACGGTCGGAGAACCCTTTTGATAGTTTTCGTCGATTTTTTTCACTGTGTGATCCTGAACAGGAAAACTAAACATGATTGGTAAATTGGAATAATATATTGTTACAGTATAGGTGCCATGCTTATTAAAAATATGTTAGATCCTCCTGATGACTTTTATCACTCTAGTGAATCCTCGAAAGTTTTTTAATGCTATATTTACCGCGAAGGCCTATACACCGGGGCATACGTTGGGATTATGGTGCGATTCAGGGCAGAGAGGAAGCCCCCGCCCAAATCCCCAACATCTTTTCTGGTGCGAGACTCAGACCTAAACGGCTTGTGATCACTAGTGAGTAGACACGCATAGTGGACCACTACTCCAGTAAGCCGAATCAGTGGTACGGGCAACTCGCAAGGTAACCCATATATTTTCCGTTACCTAAATGTACAAGGGCGTAGGTAACAGTAGTACCTCTTTGGCGAGGTACTCATAGGCGATAGTGTTACATACTTGCGTACTACATGTGTAGTTTTCCAGTAGACTAGGTCGTATTTAGTCGGTACAGGAGAGCCTGTAAATCAATATATTTGCGCTTCAGCTTTACCTTACATCTCTTTTGTATTCTGTATACACTTCTCAAGCATAATAAGCCTGTTTTAGAACAAACATCTTCAGCTTATCGAATTCCTTTCTTCTGTAAATTCAGCAAAGCGGGAATCGGTAGGACTTGTGAACAAATTACATAATTCAACAAAACAAACAAGAAACTTTAAATGAATCTGTATATCTGGTGTTTAAAATGAAATATAGGAGCTTTAGGGATTTACTAACCGTTGACGCGATGGAAAGTTGTTAATAAAAAGTGTTTTATTCTTCCA